CGCTTGAACGGGCCTCTGGGCCCGGCAACCCGGACCCACACCTGTAGCAGCTTCCTCTCCTTGCCCTTCCTCATGTCCTCCCCGCTCTAGATTTGAGCGCGGGTGCGCTTTCATTCAGCGAGGGGTGCTCTGGATCAGAGCGTGAATTACCTACCCCGCTTTCGCTTCCAGGCAAAACCAAGCCATACCACGCGCCTCCTCGTCAAGGGGCCTGACCAGTACAGGCTGCAATTTGGCATCGTTTGGTATCTCTTGGAAGCGAGGGTGGTCAAAAGCGAGGTAGGTTTGTTTTCCCCCTACTGGAAGCCGTCCGCGTCCACCTTCGTCAAGGGCCGCCTCCGACAGCACCCGGCCTACGAGCGGGCGCACCCCGGCCATACAGCAGCCTGGGGCCGCACGTGGCCTTCCTTGCACGAAGCTGCCGGCGCAACCCTCGTGAAGCGAACGGGTCCTGAGGTCAAGCAGTAGCGAGTAGCGAAGCGTCTTGGCCTGCCTATTAGGTTCACCGAGGGATGTTCTCATAATCTCTTGTGGTTTGCACGAAGTGCTCTCAGGACATTTCCTGCTCAGACCGTCTTGGTTTAGTACGAGCATCTTCAATCAGCATGCTCCAAGGAAGGCTTGCACTCGGGGCTCCTTCACTGCGTCTGCAAGGGAGCGGGGCCTCTGCGTCGGTCCAGCTGGCCTGTTGCCGCCCGTCGCCGCCCGTCGCCGCTGCCCGTCGCCGCCGCTTCTGGGCCCGGGCGTCCGCCGCCGTGCTGTTGTCGTCGCCGCCGCCGCCCGCCGCCACCGTCCAGCGCCGCTCCACTGCGCTCGGCGTCGTTCGCGGTGCCTCAGAGCGTGAATTACCTACCCCGCTTTCGCTTCCAGGCAAAACCAAGTCATACCACGCGCCTCCTCGTCAAGCGGCCTGACCAGTACAGGCCGTAGTTTGGCATCGTTTGATATCTCTTGGAAGCGAGGGTCGTCAAAAGCGAGGTAGGTTTGTTTTCCCCCCAGTGCCGGTTCGCCGTGCCTGCTCGCCGCCCGCCCCCGCCTCGCTGCCGCCCGTCGCAGCGGCTCCGTTGCACCCCTCCCGAGGTGCCTTGCGGTCGATTGCGTCGACAGCGATGGATTTCGATAGATCCTCCTGTCTGAAAAGAGACGACGCCCTCCCGAGGCCGGAGTTAGCATTACTGTACCCCCTGGGGATGTCCAGTATGATCCTGCCTCATCGTCCATCCAACATAGAAATTCACACCATCCCAGGGGGGCCGGTTTCCCCCCCCCGGCATCCTCTGCGAAAAACTACTGTGCGCGCGCACTCGTTTATCAGAAACCCTTAGGTTACAAACATCCCTTGCAACAACAAACCGACGAAGTGTACACGCGCGCGTCGTCGCCCGCGCAGCCGAAATCTTTCAAACATTTTCGGTGCTGCAAGGATTTCAAAATCAAGTACCCAGAACAACGTATAAACAAACACATGGTTTCGCAACGCGTATTTTCAATGCAAAAACTTGCGCGTTCTTCTTTCGAATTCTTAAGAAGGCCATAGGTTTGTTTCATTAGTTTCATAACATGCTACCACACGGGCTTCGCGCGCGCATATCGAAGTCGTTCGGGCGCCCTTGCGCGTGTGACGTCGCGAAAATCCCTTGCAACAGATGAACGACGTTCCCGCGCGCGCGCGTCGTTGCACGCGCACGTCGGAATCCCTGGCAAACCCGTGGTTTCATAGCGGTGTCAAAACCCAATGTCCAACAACATGTGCAAAACATGTGGCTTCGCAACACCAGTTTTCAACAAAGCGTGCATTCGCGTTCTTGCGAATTCTTCAGAGAACAGAGAACGATCGGTTTTTCAACATGTTCATGGAATTCTGCCAAGCAGGCCCCTGGCGCCGCATGCCGAAATCATTCGCCCGCCTTTGCGCGCGCGCTCTGGGGGGGGGGGGGCACGGTCCTTGTCAGATCATACCATGCGGGCGACTCTCGCGCGCCGGCCGCGCGCGCATGTCGAACTCGTCCCAAACCCTTCATCACCGACGCGAGGACGCCGTCATCGTCGCCGGCGTGGCCAGCATCGGCGCTCGCACTGGCCGCGCCGTCGTCGTTGCCAACATCGCTACCCTGTTACCAGCATTGCTATTATCATCATCGTGTATTCCGTTGTCAACGTTGCCATGATACCGCGCCCGCCCAAGCCACCGATTCGCACTGAAGTACCCGCTGGGATGTGCCTGGCGGCCAGCGCCACCGCGTACGCGTCGGTCGCGCCAAACTAACTGGCCGCTGCACGCGCGGGCATGCGCGAGATGGCGCTGCCGCAGAGATGCACCACCCAACACCAATCATCCATCGCAATAGCAGTGCGTTTTGCGAACCAAGTTGCGGGTGGGTGGGTGCGATGATTGCGCGAGCATTGGAGTCGACGATTTCAAGTTCGGCAAGGTGGCTTGCACCTCGTAGCTCGCACCACATGTATAGCACTATATAGCTTACACCATGTAACAAAACAT